CAGGCGCAGGGGGGCGGGGGAGCAAGCCATTAGCATGGACAACCAAGGAGTGCCCATCCTGGTGCTGACCTGTGAGTTGACGGTGGAGATCGGACAGCCAGGCGGCGAAGTCAACCACATGGCCCTCAGCGTCCAGGCAGAGTACGAAGTCCGCCATCATGCAGGGTCAGCAACACAGCTCCTCAGCGATACAGGGACACAGCGGCACAGCTCCACAGGGACACGGCGGCACATGGACACAGCGGCATAGAGACACAGCAGTACAGCTCCAGGAGGACGGCTGCAAGGCGCTCCGGCACGGACAAGCTCACTGCCCGCACCCTTCTCTGCGTCTTCCTCGGTTTTCCCCTTGATGCGTCCGACTGGCACTTCTACCACCCGCCGTCTCACCGCTTCTTTCACTCTCGCGACGTCACCTTTGACGAGTCCGTCTCCTACTACCGTCGCTTCCCCCACCGCGGTCCCCCAGTTACCCCCCCCCTGTTCCTGGTCACTCCTTCCCCGGTAGTCCCTGCCCCTCCCCCTCCTCCTCCCCGTCCTGCCCCCTCTGGTGTGTCCCACGTCACCCCTCTTCCGTCGGTGGTCCCGGTTGAGGAGTCTTCTGACTCTGGTGGTCCTGCGGCGCAGTCCTCGCCGGCCGCCCCTCCCCAGGCGTCCCCTCCTCCACCGCCTCTGCCGCCGCTGTCGCCCTTGCTGTCGCAGCCGTTGTCACCTCCGCAGCCGCCGTCGCAGCACCCGTTCGTTGACTCTGGGGGTGCTGGCGTTGGAGTGCGTGCTCCCGGTAGCCCTAGGGGTGGTTCCAGTCCTCGAGGGGTTTCGGGCCCTGGAGGTGTTCCCTCTGGGGGTGCTGGTGTGGAGTGTGCCAGTGGTAGCCGAGGAGCAGCTTGCGGTCCAGGTGTCGGCGTTGTGCCGCCGCAGCAGCAGTCCCCGCCGGTGTCAGCCCTTCGCCTGCTCAGCCTTCCGTCCCCTGACCCTGCGTCTGTTCCTCTCCGACCGTCTCCTCCTCTTCCCATCTATGGCCCTGTGTTCCCTCCGCCGGACTCGTCCCCGGCTCGTCTTTCCCCTCGTTCCCCTCCTGTATCCCCTCCCCTGTCTCCTGACCCGACTCCTCCGTCTCACGTCTGGTCTCACCGTCCCTCCCGTGCTCGTCCTGCCTCCCCTGTCTTGCGCTCCCACCCTATGTTGCTTCGTTCCCACGCGTCTCGTCCTCCCCTTCTCCCGTCGCCTCCTCCGTCCTCCCTTGTTGTTGCACCCCCCCCGCTGTCTGACTACCTTCGTGCCACTCGTCCTCTTGTTCCTCGGGTCCTTGCCTCTCTCGTTACCGACCCGTCTGTTCCGGTCTTGTGCCTTGACGCTCTTGTAGCTGCGGTCGCTGACTTCGCCTCTACCCGCCACCTTGACTACGCCACCGCTCTGGTCTCTGACCCTGCCTGTCCTCCGTCTGTCGGGAGTGCTCCTGCCCTTGGCAATGACGTCCTGGAGGACCGCCAGTTCGAGCTTGCTTTCCTCTCCGAGGCTGCTCCCCATCTCCGTTCCATACTGCTAGTCCCTGAGGGTGACCCAGACGCTTTCGACATCCCGACCCCTCGCACTTACGCTGAGGCGACCTCGGGACCTTGGGCCTCTCAGTGGATAGCTGCCATGGAGCAGGAGATGGCATCTTGGAGATCCACCGGCACCTTCGTCGACGCAGTTCCCCCGCCTGGGGTGAACGTAGTCGATGGCCGCTGGCTCTTCAAGGTGAAGCGCCCTCCTGGAGAGCCGCCTGTGTTCAAGGCGCGCTACGTGGCTAGAGGCTTCAGTCAGCGTGAGGGGGTGGATTTCTTCCAGACCTTCGCTCCGACCCCGAAGATGACTACTCTTCGGGTTCTGTTACACCTAGCTGCTCAGCGTGACTACGAGCTTCACTCCCTCGACTTCTCCACTGCCTTCCTTCAGGGCAGCCTACACGAGCAGGTCTACCTGCGTCGCCCTCAGGGCTTTACTGGCATCTTCCCTCCTAGGACCCAGTGGCTCCTGCGGCGCCCCGTCTACGGCCTGCGCCAGGCTCGGGACGCACTGGCCTCAGTGAAGGCAGAGCTGCTGAAGAGACACACCTGCACTGACCTTGGAGAACTGCACCGTTGCCTTGGCTTGCAGATCTCCAGGGACAGAGCATCGCGCACCATCACCCTGACTCAGTCACACTTGGTGCGCCAGGTCCTTCAGAGGTTCGGCCTTCAGTTCTCCTCTGCACAGCCCACCCCTCTGCCTGTAGACCACAGACTCTCCGCTCCAGTTTCTGAGGAGTTGGTAGAGCCCAGCGGCCCCTACGCAGAGCTGGTGGGTTGCCTCATGTACCTGATGACTTGCACTCGCCCAGTTCTCGCATACCCTCTCAGCATCCTGGCTCGCTTTGTGGCCACAGGCAGACACCGACCGCAGCACTGGTCTGCCGCTAAGAGAGGTTTTGCGTTATCTTGCTAGTACATCGGGCATGGGGTTAGTGCTAGGAGGACGTGGGCCAGTGGTCCTTACTGGACACACAGACGCTTCGTGGGCAGACGACGCCGAGACACTCAGGTCTACCCAGGGCTACTGCTTCAGCCTTGGTTCAGGTGCCGTCTCGTGGAGAGCTACTCGCTCCTCGTCTGTTGCGCAGTCCAGCTGTGAGGCTGAGATCTACACTGGTGCCATGGCGGCACAGGAGCTCCGCTGGCTGACCTTCTTGCTCACTGACGGCCTAGCTCTGCCCCGGTCCTGTTCGCTGACAACAGGGCCATGATCCTCCTGTGTCAGGAGCCTCGACTCGAGGGCAGAGCGAAGCATATTCAGCTGCGGTACTTCCTCCTGCGCGAGCTACAGCAGCGACGCCAGGCTCGCGTAGTACACTTGGCCTCTGGTGCCAACACAGCTGATATCTTTACGAAGGCGCTTGCGCCTAAAGATCATCAGCGGCACTGTGTACAGCTTGGTCTAGTTCCTGTAGCCTCTCACTTGCTAGGGCCTTGACTTTGTACTGTCCTTTATATGTGTACTCAGACAGGACTTGTGTCCTCTCCCAGTGGCTGGACTAGTAGTGCCGCCCTGGCCTTGTTCTTGCCTTGTCTGTACTCCTTCTGGTTGGTATTTTAGACCCTTGTCTCAGAGGCTGGACTAGTAGTGCCGCCCTGAGCTGCTTGTTCAGGACATGCCCCTATGCAGTCTAGGGGGTGTGTCAAACATGTGTATCTCCTATGTTTGCATAGACTGTATAGGGCCACCTCTTAGAGGGTACAACACTTAGGTATATTCACCTGTACTCTCTCTCTACTCGATCATTCAGTTCTCATTCTAACAAAATCCTCGCGCACCGAACGGCTCTCACACCAACATCTTGTTGTGCATGTGTTCGCGTCGCAACTCCACAAGCCACACGCCATGCACGAACATGGCGGTCTTCCTTACCCATGCCACAACCTGAGACGGAAGGGCTTGGCTTTGGAGATATGGGACGCTGCGTGAGCTGGGCAGTGGGGTGGGGGGAGGGAGGGTAGGCTGGGCAGACACAATCTAGACCGCGATTGAAGCATCTTCTGGCTTTTTATAATCGACACAATGTTCGGTAAGGTACATACAGTTGCCACAATGTCCGTAGGAGTTATGGCACTTCAATATTCATACGACGCATGGTAGATAGATAGATAGATAGGTACTTATTGGCTTGTGACTTAAGGCTGTGGCCTGTGACCAGTGTGAGGTTTGATCTAGGAAATATGTGTCAAAAGACTAGCTTAGCTAGGAAGCCATAGAATGGCACAAGGTTTAGCTAAGAGCTAGGAGGAGCCATGAGAATGGCGAGAGGTTTTAGGTGCTAGGAAAGTTGAGGAGAGAAAAGAGTGTTGGATTAGAAGAGAGGGGAGTACAAGGAGGGGTTTGTACCCCCTACAGAAAGGTTCAGTAACAACCTACCAAGCCTATATTAAATTATAACTTATATAATTTTAACACACCCCCTAGGCTTGGTAGTCACATGCCCACACACACCCACACCCCCTAACCTAGCACCCCCATTCCAGCCACAGTGACAGCGACTCTAGGTCGGTCGACCCACGGTGCGTGAGGCGGCGACGTCGACCGCAGGGGCTGCGGCGGCGACGGCAGCAGCGGCGGCAGTGTCGACAGCGGCGGCGGCGGCGGCGTGCGGCTGCGTGGCCCCGACGCAAGCGGCGACAGCGGCGGCGGCGGCGGCTTCGACAACAGCGGCAGCGGCGGCGGCACCCGCACCTCTCGGTGACGTGGCCAGGCCCCGCGACGGTGGGACGGCCGGCGGGAGTCAGCCGTCGTCTGCGGAATGGAAGAGGGCACAGGGGAAGGAGGGGGGTGGGGGGGGGGGGGGGCGCCACAGGCTGACATGCGGGCGGCCGGTCTAGCGGCGCCACAAGCGTCACGCGGCCGGCTGCAGCCCGACGACGCCGTCATGGAGCGGCGTCGATGCCGCAGCGGGGCGTCGACGTTGCGACGGCAGCACGACGTCGCCGTTACGCCGACCGCGCGCTGTCGCGTAGACGCCGCGGCAGCGTGACGGCGCCGTCACGTCGCGACAGCATCTTGACGCGACGGCGGAGCTGCGGCACGACGGCGCGGCCACAGCAGCTGGACGCGGGCGCCATGGACGTCGACGGCGGCGCCGCGGCACGACGACGCGGCCACAGCAGCTTGACGCGGCCGCCATGGCAGCGCGAGATAGAGAGAGAAACGAGCACGCAGCGGAAACGCGAGGAGCAGGCCCACACGGAACGAACTGCTCTGATACCATGTCAAAAGACTAGCTTAGCTAGGAAGCCATAGAATGGCACAAGGTTTAGCTAGGAGCTAGGAGGAGCCATGAGAATGGCGAGAGGTTTTAGGTGCTAGGAAAGTTGAGGAGAGAAAAGAGAGTTGGATTAGAAGAGAGGGGAGTACAAGGAGGGGTTTGTACCCCCTACAGAAAGGTTCAGTAACAACCTACCAAGCCTATATTAAATTATAACTTATATAATTTGAACAATATGATGTATGTAGACAAATAACCAGTAACAAGAGCACCTTTTTGCAAACACCCCCCAAGCACCGCATGCGGTTTGGATGCAAGAGATTCCTAGGATATTACTAAGTTAGCGTTACTCAAACATCTAGCACAAGCTCTAGTTGCACTTGCAACACCTCACTTCCTTTCAAGAACTGCCTTGGGCCCTTCATCCGACACCAGAATCACATTTTGCGATGTCTCAAAACTAAAGCGTAGATTGCGGCATTCACTTCTTCTCCAGAACTGCCTTATGCCCTTCGTCTGACACCAGAATCGCCACCAGCACCACGCCAAACATGGTCAAAATCAGTGCCACTCCCAGGTGAGACAAATACCTCTGCATGCCCCTCTCCCCCCTCCCCACCTCCTCACCCCCCTCCAAATCCTTCCCCTTCTCCCTCGCATCCGCCTCGTGCCGTGCCATCTCGACCGTCCGTTTCACCTTCTCAAAATCCCCCTCCTTTACTGCCTTCACCAGCTCATCCCCTTTACTAGCTAGCGCCGACCCTAGAAGCTCTTTCCGGGAGGGCCGGGGGGCGGGGCGGGACCAAAGAAACCGGGTGGTTTGCCAGAGGAGTGGAGCGAGGTAGAGAGCGATAATGACGTCGACAGAGTAGTGGGATCGCTCCCTGATGTCCCTTTGAGCCGCGTGCATCACAAGCATCCACACCAGGGAAGAACCCCAACCCGGGTATGCATCCTGCAGTCATGTATAGGTAACCGGAGAGAGGGAGTGGGGGAGTTGGGGGGGGGGGAGGGGAGTCCGTGAGGGGAGAGTAGGGTTTATGTCCCTCTGAGCCGCGTGCATCACGAGAATCCACACCACGGATGACGCCCACCCTGGGTAAGCCTCCTGCAAACGTGCAAGGGATGATGTGGCTGCGGGCGGGGAGTAGACCCATACCCATAGGGGAGAGAGTGAGGTGAGGGGGCTGGGGGTTCATGCTTGTTTGAGCTCCATGCATTGCCAGCAGCCACACCATAGACGAAGCCCTCGTACCCATGAGCCCACCTACCCATGAGCCCACCTACCCATGAGCCTGCCTACCCATGAACCCACCTACCCATGAGCCCACCTACCCATGAGCCCGCTGCCCACCTACCCATGAACCCACCTACCCATGAACCCACCTACCCATGAGCCCACCTACCCATGAACCCACCTACCCATGAACCCACCTACCCATGAGCCCACCTACCCATGAGCCCGCTGCCCACCTACCCATGAACCCACCTACCCATGAACCCACCTACCCATGAGCCCACCTACCCATGAGCCCGCTGCCCACATACCCATGAACCCACCTACCCATGAACCCACCTACCCATGAACCCACCTACCCATGAACCCACCTACCCATGAGCCCGCTGCCCACCTACCCATGAACCCACCTACCCATGAACCCACCTACCCATGAGCCCACCTACCCATGAACCCACCTACCCATGAGCCCACCTACCCATGAGCCCACCTACCCATGAGCCCACCTACCCATGAGCCCACCTACCCATGAGCCCACCTACCCATGAGCCCACCTACCCATGAACCCACCTACCCATGAACTCACCACGGCATAAACCCCCCGCCAGGCACATGTGGTGAGGGCAGCAGCAGTGATGATCTGCCCGCTGGAAGCGAGGTCGTTGCAGCCCCGTAGGGCCGAATGACAACAACGCACATTCCAAGCTGTGAGCCTACCAACCTGTCACTGTAATTGCACCCACCTGCCAGGCACACGCGGTGAGGGCTGCGGTGATGATGTGGCCGCTGAAAGCAAGGTCGTTGCAGCCCCCGTAGGGCCGGATGACGAAGCTGCTGAAGGCGCCCGAGGTGGCTGCTGCGCCGTCGTGAACCCGGGCGTCCATGGGGCGAAGGAAGTCCACCAAGAACTGCAGCACACCCCAGTCAGGTGAAAACTCAGGTGGGAAGGACTGGGCAGGAGCTGGGGGAAGAAGAGGGGGAGAAGAGGGAGGAAAGCAGGGGAAAAGAGGGGGGGAAAGGGGGGGAAAGCAGGGGGGAAAGAGGGCGTACAGAATGGAGGGGGCAAATGGGATAGTTGAGTTGATGGGGGTCAAAGGGCTGGTTACTCGCATGAGCCCGGGCGTCCATGGGGCGAAGGAAATTCCACCAGCAACTGCAGCACGCCCCAGTCAGGTGAAAAGTCAGGTGGGAAGGGCTGGGCGGGAGCTGGGGGGGAAAAGAGCGAGAATAGAGGGGGAAAGTGGGGGAAAGAGAGGGGGAAAGTTGGGGGGAAAGAAGGGGAAGTGGGGGGAAAAGAGGGGGAACGAGGGTGGGCATCAGGAGAATGCAGGGGGGGAGGTGGGGCAGTGAGGGGGAAGGCAGAGGAAAGGGGGCATACCGAAAGCAGTATCTGTGGAGATCAGCTGGTGCAGCAGGTCGGGATTCTCGTTATAAGGCATCAGGTACTTGGCCGCCCAGGGATGCGGGTGCCTGGGACACGTGTCGCCAAACCGTGCCTCCGCGCACCAAGGCCTGGGCGCGGGCAGAATGGTGGAAGCGAACGTGAGGAAGCGCAGCACGCGGCTGAGCCCGATGGTGAAGCAGTAGCGCGCGCCGAGCGCCATGCCCGGGCCGGGGATCGCGCCGAAGAGGACGGAGAAGGCGAGCAGCATGAAGAGCATGAGGAAGTCGTGCAGCTCGACGATTGGCGCGCGGAGGAGGGCGACGAGGGACGACGGGAGGCGGTCGTTGAGGCCCAGGAGGATCCACTGCCCGGTGTCGGGGAGAGGAGCGACGGTCCTGGTAAGGGGGGAAAGGGGGGAGAGAGGGGAGGAGGGGAGGGGAAAAGAAGGAAGAACGAGCAGCATGAAGAGCATGAGGAAGTCGTGCAGCTCGACGATTGGAGCGCGGAGGAGGGCGAGGAGGGAAGACTGGAGGCGGTCATTCAAGCCCAGGAGGATCCACTGCCCGGTGTCGGGGAGAGGATCGACGGTCCTGGTGGGCTGGGGAGCGTGGAGGGGAGATGGGGAGGGGAGAGGGGAGGGAGAAGGCGAGCAGCATGAAGAGCATGAGGAAGTCGCGCATCTCGACGACTGGCGCGCGGAGAAGGGCGGTGAGGGAGGACGTCAGGTGGTTGTTGAGGGCTAGGAGGATCCACTGGCTGGTGTTTGGGAGAGGAGCGACGGTTCTTAGAGGAAAAGCGACGGTTCTTGGAGGAAAAGCGACGGTTCTTGGAGGAAAAGCGACGGTTCTTGGAGGAAAAGCGACGGTTCTTGGAGGAAAAGCGACGGTTCTTGGAGGAAAAGCGACGGTTCTTGGAGGAAAAGCGACGGTTCTTAGAGGAAAAGCGACGGTTCTTAGAGGAAAAGCGACGGTTCTTAGAGGGGATGGGGAGCGGGGATGGGGATGGGGGAGGGGGATCGGGGATGGGGAAGGGGGAGGGGGATCGGGGAGCGGAGATGGGAAGGGAAAGGCGCGAGGAAAAGCAAGAGCGGCATGAAGAGCATGAGGAACTCGTGCGTTTCGACAACGGGTGCAAAGAGGATCGCAACGATCGCAACAATCGCAATCAAGACTTACTCGTGCCAATCATACATGACTGAATTATGCTGGACGACGACTGTGAAGAGCCGCATGAGCCTGAATCATACATTTGAATTATGCTTCCGCGAGTTCTATTTGCGAATTGTGTCACCAAGAACTTGATGCATGCGAGAAAGTTGATTGAGACATAACAAAGAATGTACATTCTTGACTTTCGTAACGGATACTCACTTGTGCCAGTCGATACCGAGGACGACTGTAACGAACTGCACCATCACCACCTCCGCGATGAAAGTAACCACCATGAACCCCAGGCACGCCAGGAACTTAGGGACGTTCTTAAACTCCTCCGCGAAATGCCGGTACCGGGGACCCTGAATGACAGCTAGAATCCCGAGGAACGCCCATAGACCGGGCGGGAATTTCGCCGCGATGTGCGGAGGAAGCCAATTCGTGCGAGTGCAGACAAATTCGATGAGCACATAGGCCAAGCTGACCGTTCCAAGGTTTAATAAATTCCGCGCGCCGCGTAGCAGAGTAGACCCTGGAGCGGAACCGAAAGCCATGGTAAATTGTCTCCGGTTGCAGGCGGACAGGTGGTAACAGGTGGTAACAGGTGGTAACAGATGGGCAGCTAGACCATAGAAGATCGATCGAGGTGCATTTGTGTCAACCAGCTGTCAAAACCTTCCCTGGTTATACACTGCCCCCTAGCTCCTCATATGTTCTAAACGAGAATATTGTCCGAGTAGGTGTTGGTCAGATATAGACTATAGTAATGGTCCAAGCAGCAGCAGATGAAGAGGATTGTTACACCGCTCGATCAACACATTCCCCAGTCCCGATGCGGACGATTACAAAGATTGCGACGCACGTGGCGCTACGACCGCGACGGACGCCGTCGGATCTTCAAGACTCGCGAGGTCGTTCTCGCTGACAGTCGAAGCTACTGCGAAGGCTGATCAGTTGAGCTAACACAGTCTAAGCGATGTATACTGCGATAGCTGTTCTGACAGAAGCTGTTCCGCAGGCACACGCGAGCAGCCGGGGCTGCAGGCTTGAGAGCCCGTGCGTGAAGGAGCTTCAAGTTGGGCTGGGGGAACTTGGGAAGGACAGCGTGCTTAGTGCTTTTCGTTGTGATTTGTGACGTCACAGATCAGCCATTGACGTCTTCCATTGTGGTTTCGTGACTTGTGACGGCAGATTGAGGTCGCCTTCAGAAGTTTGGACGACAACCGAAGTTTGGACAGGAGAGGAACGTTTCCTTTCTCTCGGGATGACAGTCTAAATGGCGGGTATACTCGTGTATTAAAGATCGAATAATCTTACAGTCCCCAATCCGAAGCAGTTTATAGAGACTCGATTACTCAGCCAATTTCTCGCTAAAACACACTGTTACAGTGCACGTTTAGGTGGAGACCTGAGCGTCGGCAAAGAGTAGACTGGAAAAACAGCCTAGGGTCTACTGTTTTCAGGGTAAATAGGTGTACAGATCGAGAAACCAACTCTTTTGTCCAAACTTCGGTTGTCGTCCAAACTTCTGAAGGCGATCTAAAGCGCATCACACACTCACACCAGTGAGGCGAGGAGGGGGGCACTCGGCACGGCACATCCTGTGGTGGGGGCTGGTTGGGTTCGGTGTGGGGGGGAGTCTCCCAGCCCAGTGCCCCCAAAACAGCTCTCCGCTTGTGCCCCCGACCAACTCCAAGAGAGCGGCAGAAAGTTCGGAGAGGAAATTAATAGAAGTTTCCCTATCAGTGCGATTGCTTTCCAGGTGATCGGTTCGTTCATTTCGAGAATTCACCCTCCAAGCTGAAGTGCGGTCTGCTTCAACATTTAGGACGTGGTACAAGTTCGGAAAGACATGGTTAGAGTCCCAAAGGTCACCTCGGCACCGTACTAAACCAATGCTAAATGTTTTTCTATCTTTTCAACCGCGCCCAACCCTGCCAGCTTGGCTTAGGCTCGATCTGGAGTCCCAGACGATCTGCTACTTGTAACAAGGAGCAAACCCTAGGACCCCAGACCCAGGTACGACTAGTGTTCAATTTCCATTGTAACATTATACAGTGCAAGTTTTGAGGGGGAAACGAAGCAGAGCAAACATTGCACAGTGGGAGGCTCGCGGAGCAGTACCCTCGATTTCACCGTTATCCATACCGGGCTGCCCAGACGTCAAAACACCAGGTCAAAACACAAACCCTCAATGTCACCGCCGCTTGCCATCCTCTTGCCTGGTTGGCTGGGCTTGTGGCTGTCGTTTGCCGCGCATTTTCTGTGCCCGGAGGGATCAGCTTGCTGTCCAAATTGAAGGTGGGGAAAGAAAGGCGGATGTCAAAATGTGGTGTCAGAAGAGCTCGAAGGACAGGCGTCGGATTGTGTGGCGGAGGGAAGGGGGAAAGGTCAGATGTGGTGTTGCTCTGACCAATGGGAGCAGAACGCGCTAAAACATGTGTGATACAGAGCAAGGTAATGCTCGGATGGGACATACACTGGATAAAGAAGACTTGATGAAACTAATCTAACATTGATATGATCTTCAACCCTTATTGAGGACGTTTCACCATTCACGCCTTGCACAGCTCGCGGGACCAGGATTATTCTGAAATAAATTGTGTCGCAGTGGCACATGCAGAACTCATGAACGCCACTTCAAAAAGCCTCCTCCTTCATCTGCCACACTGAAGGCCGTCAGAACCACCACAAACAGCACCAGGATCATTCCAATACCAAACGGCAATAGCCATTTGTTCATCTGTTCATCCCTCACTGCTTTATCACCATCAGTTCCTTCCTTACAACCGGCAGTGGAGACCGCTTCCGCTTCTTTTTCCGCATCTTCCACAGCCTCCCTCACAGCACTCAAGTCCCCATCCTTCAACGCTTTGGTAAGCACCGATTCCCGCTGGCTAAGTGCCAGCCCTAAAGCCTCCCTCTTAGAGGGCGGTGGGGGCGGGCGCGACCAGAGGAACTTGGTGGTGCGCCACAGCAAGGGCGCAAGATAAAGCGCCAAGACTACATCCACCGAGTAGTGCTGCCGCTCCCGAACCTCCCTCTGAGCGGAATGGAAGACAAGGCCCCACACCATGGCTGAAGCCCAGCCAGGGAAGGCTTCCTGCCAGGTAGAAACAGTGGGGGGAGGGGGGGAGGGCAGGGAGGGGGAGACACTTTCTTGATTATCCCTCTGTGCAGAGTGATGGGCGAAGTGCTCGAGTTTTCTCAGGAGAGTGACCCCTCCGGTTTCCCTAGTGCTGAATGAAGGGAAGGAACCAAACCATGGACAAAATCGGCCAGGAGAGATGTTTGATAAGTTTAAGAAATCTACCACAGATTTCCCTTGAGGCGAATGAAGGGAAGAACTCAACCTTGGACAAAATTGGACAGGAAAGGGTTGCAAAACACAAGAAGGGTGGGTTTGGTGGGGACTAGGGAGGAGGGTAGGGCGGGGGACAAAAAAGGGGGGAGGGCAGGGGAAGAAGCGCGCACCTGCCAGGCACACGCGGTGAGGGCTGCGGTGATGATATGCCCGCTAAAAGCAAGGTCGTTGCAGCCCCCGTAGGGGCGGATGACGAAGCTGCTGAAGGCGCCCGAGGTGGCTGCTGCGCCATGGTGCACCCGGGCGTCCATGGGGCGAAGGAAGTCCACCAGAAACTGCAGCACGCCCCAGTCAGGTGAAAACTCAGGTGGGTAGTTCACCTGGGGTGCTGGGGGGAGGCGATGAAGAGGCCAGGGAAGGAGGCGGCGGGAAAGGGGATGGTTGCTGCTTTTAAGTAAAGGAGCTATTCATTAGACGCCCGAAATTAGATTCAAGGAACTGGCTGTTAGGGAGGCATGGCCACAAGCTGTGAAGAAAACGCGAACTGAAAGCGATCAGGCCAGGGACGTACCGAAAGCCCTGTCCGTTTCGATAACTTGGTGCAGCAGGTCGTGATTCCGGGCGTACGGCACAAAATACTTCTGAGCCCAGGGATGCGAGTGCTGTCTATTTCTAGCTAGAACAGCACAGACCAAAAGCGATCAGACCAGGCACCTACCAAAAGCCCTGTCCGTTTCGATAACTTGGTGCAGCAGGTCGTGATTCCGGGCGTATGGAACGAAGTACTTCTGAGCCCAGGGATGGGGGTGCCTCGGGCTCGTGCTGCCAAACCTAGCCGCGGCGCACCACGGCCGAACCGCCGGGAGGATCGTAGAAGCGAAGGTTAGGAACCGGAGCACGCGGGAGAGGGCGATGGTGAAGCAGTAGCGGGCGCCAAGGCCGATCCCCGGGGGAGGGATGCAGCGGAAGAGGACGGAGAAGGCGAGCAGCATGAAGAGCATGAGGAAGTCGTGCATCTCGACGAGGCGCGCCCGGAGGAGGGCGGTGATTGGAGTGGGGAGGCGGTCGTTCAAGGAGAGGAGGAGCCATTGGCCGGTGTCAGGAAGAGGGGCAGTGTCACTGACAGAGGGGAGAATGGGGAAGAGGGAAGAGGGAAGGACCATTTTTATCAGGACAGTAAATTCGTGCATCTCCACGAGGCGTGCGCGGAGGAGGGCGGTGATTGGAGCGGGGAGACGGTCGTTCAAGGCAAAAAGGAGCCACTGGCCGGTGTCGGGAAGAGGGGCAGTGTCACTGGGTCGTGGGAGTGGGAGGGAGGGGGGAGGGGGGAAGAAATGGAGAAGGCGAGCAGCATGAAGAGCATGAGGAAGTCGTGCATCTCGACGAGCCGGGTGCACTGGGTATCGGTGAAAGAGGGGGGGAGGCGGTTGTCAAGGGCGAGGAGGAGCCACTGGCCGGTGTCGGGAAGAGGGGCAGTGTCACTGACAGAAGCGGTCAGGGGGGAAGAGGGAGAACCATGATAATCAAGAGCATGTCAGGATAACAAGAATGTCAGGGATGTCAGAGATGTCAGGGATGCAGAAGCAGACAATCATGCATCACTACATACCACAATACAGTATACTGAATCCATCTACAACGGGTACAGGCGTATTTGTGCTAGCCAATGCCCGGAAAGACAGCAACGAACTGAACGATCACCACTTCCACGCCGATCAGACGTAGGCCACCGTGCGTTACAAGCAACAGTGCACAGTAATGAATGCATTAATAACGGGTACAAACGTACCTGTGCCAGTCAATGCCCAGAACGACAGTAACGAACTGCACGATCACCACTTCCACGCCGATCATCGCCACCATGAACAGCAGGCTCGCGAAGAACTTGGGAGCCGCGCGAAACTCCTCCGCGAAATGCTGGTAACGCGGAGCCTCGAAAAGCGCGAGGATCGCCAGGACGCCCCACAGGCCGGGCTGCAGCTGCGACGCGAAGCTTCGTGGAAGCCAGTCGGTTCGGCCGCTCACGAATTCCATTGCCACGTAAGCTAATCCGACGGTCCCAAGGCCCAAGATTCCCCGTCCGCCTGTTCCTCTCCGCTGATCCACCGTTGGTGCCATATTTCTCCGTAATTCTTACGCCACCGGTTTTTTTTTTATGATAATGCCGAGAATGACAATATTATCGCGTCGAGGGGGAAGTGAGAGCAGAACGAGATTCCCCACTTGCAGCGTAAATATTGGGTCGACTGAGCAGCAATGGGAGAGCTCTGCGGGCCAAATCTGTCGAAAGGAGAACGATGTAGAAAGAATGGCCGATTCAGCAACGGAAGTTGAGAGTGCTACAAGGCAATGCCGCTAATCTAGGACGGATCGCAGCCGTCCATCGCTTGAGCCGACTAGTCGATGCGACAGAGAAGGGGGTGGAGGATGTCTAGACTAGAGTCTAGTTGACTGCTATACTTGACAGCAGAATCGGTACTGGGGTGAAATAGTGGTGAGCTGATGTGCTCTTGAGTTGCTCAAGAGGTGAGCTGATCTGAACATGAGTTGGCGAAGAAGTGAGCTGATCTGAACTTGGCTTGGCGAAATGGGGAGCTGATCTGCACCTGATTTGGCGAAGGGATCTGATCTGCCCTTTGGTTGGTTGGGTAGTTCCAAAATTTCGCAGATGCTGTGAACTGAGGCGGGCTGGTCATATTCGCGAAGGAAATTCCGTTACAGTGCTACACATCCCTGCGATGTCAGTGCTGCTGGTCCCAGAAGTATTCGCTGTAAAGCATTTGAAGGTGGCATCTCAACATATTTTGACTGAAAGAGCTACACAATGATTATGAAAGGAAAATGTGACTACATGGGGGTCTAACGAATCTGGGAGAAGTTGCTCCACGTGGCGATACCCGAAGAAGCCACATAACCACCTTTCCCACCATCGATTCCGTTGTCCGATGTCGACCCTCTCGCTAGATTCGAACTTTGACTCAATAACGAGGATAAATGCACGCACCTGTCAGACATGCTTTGAGCTCGTGCATCCCTCGGCAATATCGAGGCACCCAAATCACGACCAGCTTGTATCTTGCTTCTCGGAATCTATTGTCAGACCTATTGAGTTCGTAAGGATTTCATATTATTTCTACCAGCCAGCATACTCTGTCAGCTTAATCGCATATCAGCTTGCGTTAAAGCTCAAAAGCGACTCGGACGTGACTGAAAACAATCAAAAGAAGTCGACGCGACCGATCAACGGCCATGAGCTCCCTCACCATTTGTCGGCCGTCAGCCGCGACGCTGTCGCGTCACGCCTCGCCACGTCAGCCTTCTTCCTCTCGAGACGGAATTTCTCAACAGGCTTGTAGCGCGTCCAGTGCTAGTTCCTTAAACGGGGCGAACGGGAGAGTAACTATCAGAGCTCCTTTGTCGCGCTCTGTCGGCTACCGCGTCGCTGACGTGTCCGGCTGTCGGTCGGAGCGCGCCACACGTGCTGCAGCTTCCTCCTCTTCCTCGTCGTCGCCCGCCTTCTCCGTCGCCGACGTGTCAGCGCCGCTTTCCCTCACCTACCTCGAAGTGAGTCGAAGTGAGAATCCAGGGTGTCCTGTCGCAATATTTTTCGTTGTCGTCGTCCTCCTCCTCGTTGACTTCGTCGTCGTCGTCGTCGTCGTCGTTGTCGTCCCCATCTTTCCCCCCTCCTCCTCCAGAGGGTAATATCTAAATCAACTGACTCTGGTCCAGTAGATGGTGTGAACGTGCTTGACCGGTGAGCAATGAGAACCCGTGTGCCTTTCCCCATCAACCCACCTCGCAGGGCAACTCCCGGATGTTGACTGTGGATAGAGTGAAAGTGCTGGTTTGCTGAAACTCGAGGATATGAAGAGAAATGGCATCCAATATCCTCTCGTCCCCCCTTCCCCCCTGTCCCCCTCCCTCTCCCCCCTCCCCTCCCCGCTTCTTTCCCCCCCCCCCCTATGACCCACTTCCCAGGGCAACAGTTGGCTGTGGTCGGTGGATGGACTGAAAGAGCTGGTTGATCCAATCATCGAGGGGATGAAGTGATTGTAAGACGTACTGTTTTTCTTTCTCTCCTACCCCCGCAGGGCAACAGTTGGCTGTGGTCGGTGGATGGTGTGAAAGTGCTGGTCGATCCAATCATCGAGGGCCCTCTGGATTTCGGCATCCCGTGGCTCTATTGCGGGTACAAGAAAGTGCTCAAGTCGCTCAAGGTAAGAGGTCACTTGTGTCGAACTGGCGACTTCTGGCCCGTTTTCTTCTTCTTTGGTTACAAGCGGCTCTATACCGCGTACAAGAGTTATGCCAATAAGGTCCAATGACAGGATTGTTGATTTCAGAGCTAATCTCCTCGCGACCCCCAACTATTTTGAACATTTTAAATCTCATGCGAATATACAGAGATTCTCCCCACCCACCCCTTACTCCCGCTTCCCCCTTCCCCTCCCCACCCCCCTTACTCCCCCTTCCCTCTTCCCCTCCCCACCCACCCCTTATTCCCCCTTCCCCCTTCCCCTCCCCACCCACCCCCTCCCCCTTCCCCCTTCCTTCCCTTTCCCCATCTTCTCTTTAACTCAAACCACTCTCCTCCTGCCCTCAGCTTGATGACGTCATCGATGCTGACTTGGTGCTCATAACCCAATCCCTGGACGACCACATGCATGCGAGGACGCTCAAGGCGTTAGCAGCCAGGCGGCCGGACGTGCCCATCATCGCCACACCCAACGGCCAGGCGTTTCTGGACTCGCTCTTCTCCAATGTGAGTGGTCTGTGGTGATAAGGTGTGTGAGGCGGTTGGGCGGTGATTGCACAATTGCAAGGACGCCGAAGTCTCTAATCATCTCCAAGGGACAGTCCTACCGCCTCTTTCTTTCTCTTTCCCCCCCCCCCCCCCCCCCCCCCCCCCCCTCGTCACACACTCCAAACCTTATCCCCTAAGAAGACATAACTCGAGCCCGATTCCCCACCTCCTTCTCCTCGTCGAAGCAGCCCAGGCTATGAGTCACGGCCCTGCCTGGACCTGTGCTGAAAAGGGACCCCCACACTCCATTAACACCCCCCTCTTCCCACACCCACGCTGTCTTCACCTCACGCCGCCCTCTTCCCACAATCCCTGCCCTGTCCCTCCAGGTCACATACCTCGAGCCCGGTTCCTCCACCTCCTTCTCTTCGTCCAAGGGAACCAGGCTGACAGTCAAGGCCCTGCCTGGGCCTGTGCTGGGACCCCCCTGGCAGCGACCAGAGAACGGGTGAGTGGCTGAGTGCTGGGACTCCCCCTGGGCGTTAACAAGCTTGTGGCGCCCATTTGGGGAGCCAGGCTGACAGTCAAGGCCCTGCCTGGGCCTCTGTTGGGGACCCCCCTGGCAGCGACCAGAGAACGGGTGAGTGGCTGAGTGCTGGGACCCCCCCTGGGCGCTAACATGTTTCTTGACGCCCGTTTGGGGAGCCAGGCTGACAGTAGGGCCCTGCCTGGGCCTGTGCTGGGAACCCCCTGGCAACGACCAGAGAACGGGTGAGTGGATGGGGGTGTAAAAGTAATTTCACCATAGGGGTGCACTCTCCCGCTCTCTTACCCGTGGACTTGTTTTCCCTTCCCTGGTCTTCGACCTGCTTTCTCATGTCTCAGAATGTCCCCATCTAACTCCATTTTCCCCTGGCCCCCTGCTGGTGGCGTGTATCACACAATCACAGGTACATTTCTCACCTTAGGGGTGCCCTCTCCCGCTCTCTTACCCGTGGACTTGTTTTCCCTGGACTTCAACCTGGTTTCTCGCATCTCAGAATGTCCCCACCTGACTCCATTCCCCTGGCCCATGTTATTGGCATGCATGTATCACAGGTATATTGTTCGAGGGGCGGCATCAGGAGCATCCATCTACATTGAGCCGCACTGTGTGTTTGACGAAGCAGCTCTTAAGGAGGGTGGGGAGCGAGTGGATGTACTTGTAACACCGGTGGTGAAACAGGAGTTACCGGGTTACACCCTTGTGTCGGGACAGGAGGATGCTGTGAGGCTGGCGAAGGTGGTGGGCGCCAGGTAAGCAACGCGCACATCTCTAAAACTTTGTTACGTTTTGCTATTTAACAATATGTTTTTTTGTTTCCTGATTTGTAAATTGCTGAACAATTGTGTGAATGCATGTGCTGGCCTGACCCGTTGCTGATTGGATGCATGCTGTGGTAACATGAAATATGCAGATATGTGGCCCCTATGGCTAATGCTGATGTGAACGCAAGTGGGATATTGAGTGCTCTTGTAACGCCCAATGGAACTCTCGATTCGTTCAAGGTACGTTCTTGCCAGCAAGTGAAGTTGTTGCAAGCGTGTTATTGAATGCTCCTTTCTTAGAGCATGCTACTATTGCCAGCTTGCAAAGATTCGTTAGAAAGGGTGCGCGGTATGCTTGTTTTGTAAGGATATGTTGGTATTGTATTCTTGTGCAGGCAATACTGCAGTCAGAGGTAACTGGGGTAGGAGACAACGTGGAAGTCTTGTCGATCATTCCTGGCCAACCTATCAAGGTGACCTTGTAGAGCCTAAGGATATGGAGAGGACATAAATATTTTTGATAAGTTCTGCTCATTTGTATGTAAGCACACCCGGTTTGACATCCAATATTTCATCGCGATGAAAGTATTATGGTGGTGTATGCTTTTGTGTTGTTGCGCCAGAGTGTGTTTCTGTTAAATTATATGTTGAGTTATATAATTGTTAGGCTTGGTAGGTTACCAAACTTTACTGTAGAGGGTACAATTCCCTCTTTGTATGCCGTTCTCTTTCTATTCCAACCCTCTCTTTTCTCTCAACTTTTCTCCTTCCTAAACCTCACACCACTCCATGACTCCTCTTAGCTAAACCACACGCCTTTCCTAGCTTCCTATCTAAGCTAGCCTTCTAACATGGTATTACAGCAGGAGGTCCTCCCTGCTAGACCGCCTCCTCACACTTCCGCCGCGTACTCTTTGTCAAACATGTGTAGTTATCATGTTTGTATAGACTGTATAGGGTCACCTTCTAGAGAGTACAACATTTAGGTATATGTTTGTGTACTCTCTCTCTCACATTATTCAATTCTAGGTTTGATATAGTATCACGAGTAGGTTTCGACCCCCCCCCCCCCCCCCCCCCCCCCCACCTACCGCTTCCGCTCCTCCCGTCGCGTCTCCTAGCCTCGCCTCGCCCCTCCTGAGCCCAGTCGCGACCCCTCCCCCTAGCCCCGTCGCGCCCCTTCCAGGGCCTCGTAGCGCCCCTCCAGGCCCCGTCGCGCCCCCCTTCCAGGGCTTCGTAACGCCCCTCCAGGCCCCCGTCGCGCCCCTCCAGGGCTCTGTAGCGCCCCTCCAGGGCCTCGTCGCGCCCCCTAGCGCCCCTCCTAGGCCCCGTAGCGCCCCTCCAGGGCCCCGTCGCGCCCCTTCGCGCCCCTCCTGGGCCCCGTAGCGCCCCTCCAGGGCCCCGTCGCGCCCCTTAGCGCCCCTCCTGGGCCCCGTCGCGCTCCTCACAGGCCCCGTAGCGCCCCGTAGCGCCCCTCCTGGGCCTCGTCGCGCCCCTCCTGGGCTTCGTAGCGCCCCTCCTGGGCTTCGTAACGCCCCTCCCAGGCCCCGTCGCGCCCCTCCTGGGCTCCGTAGCGCCCCTACTGGGACCCGTCGCGCCCTCCCTGGGCCCTGTAGCGCCCCTCCTGGGCCCCGTCGTGCCCCTCCCAGGCCCCGTCGCGCCCCTCCTAGGCCCGTAGTGCCCCTCCTGGGCCCGTAGCGCCCCTCCTGGGCCCCCCATTGCGCCCCTCCTGGGCCCCGCCGCGCCCCTCCTGGGCCCCCATTGCGCCCCTCCTTGGCCCGTAGCGCCCCTCCTGGGCCTGTTGCGCCCCTCCTGGGCCCTGCCGCGCTCCTCCCTGGGCCCCGTATCCACCCTCCTGGGCCCCGTCGCCCCTACTCGGCCCCGTCTCCCCTGCTCGGCCCCGTCGCCCCAGCTCGGCCCTGTCGCGGCCTCTCGGCCCCGTGGCGCCCGCCCTGCCCCTGTCGCAGCTGCCCGGCCCCTGTCGCACCTGCCCGGCCCCGTCGCGCCCGCCCGGCCCCGTCGCCCCCGCCCGGCCCTGCTGTGTCCTGCCCGGCCCCGTCGCTGCCGCCCGGCCCTGTCGCTGCCGCCCGGCCTCGTAGCTGCCGCCCGGCCCTGTCGCTGCCGCCCGGCCTCGTAGCTGCCGCCCGGCCTTGTCGCTGCCGCGCGGCCCCGTCGCAGCCGCCCGGCCCCGTCGCAGCCGCCCGGCCCCGTCGCAGCCGCCCGGCCTCGTCGCTGCCGCCCGGCCCCGTCGCAGCCGCCCGGCCCCTCGTCGCGCCTGCCCGGCCCCGTCGCGCCTGCCCGGCCTCGACGTGCCTGCCCGGCCCCGTCGCGCCTGCCCCGGCCCTCCATACTTCCTGGTACTGTCCCCCGTTCCCCGCACCACTTTGCACCCTCCTGCACTTTCCTGCCCCGCCTTGCACCGCATTGCACCTCACTGAACCGCACTGACCGCACTGCACCGCACTGGACCGCACTGCACCGCCCTGCACCGCACTGCACAGCACTACACCGCACTCCACTGTCCTCCACTGCCCCTCATGGCTGCTGAGCTTCGTTTTGATGCTGAGGGTCAGCCTCTGGAGTTCGAGGCGTGGTTGGCTGACCTTCACCGCCACCTCACTGGTCAGCGGCAGGACGGCCACCCGCTTTCTGCACACCTAGACGGTATGCTCCCCTGCCCTGACCCCCCTGCTGTGCTGCCTGCTGATCCCACGCCCGCTGAGCGCGAGTCCACTGCCGCCGCTGCCCTTGCCCGCTCTGTCTGGCTTTCCCGCGATGCCCTTGCTCAGCTCGCCATTAGCAATGCCCTCCCCCCCCTTGAGCGCCCTCGCTTTAGAACCATTACTACCGCCCAGGCCTACCTCGATGCTGTCATCAAGCGCTATTCTACCCCTCCTGCTGCCTCAGTGGGTCGCCTGATCCTCCCCCTGCTCTTTCCTGACCTGGCGTCCTTCCCCACTGTCTCTGACCTCGCTGCCCACCTGCGCTCGATAGATGAGGCCTGGCGCGCTGCCTGCACTGATGCACAGCTTAGAGTCCACCAGCCTCCCATGACCTCTACCCTCTACCTCCTTGCCACCCGCCTCCCTGACCGCCTTGCCGCCGCCCGCGACCAGTTCCTTAGCATCCACCCTGCTGCTCTCACCCTCACCGACTTTGTTGACACCCTGACTGCCATAGAGACTCGTCACCGCTCCATAGCCCAGGCGAGCGGTACAGTACCGGTCCCTATCTTTCAGGGTTGTGCCCCCGCTCAGTGTACCTTCTCCGACGGCTCTGTCGCTGTGGCTGAGACTGCTGCTGCAGTGCAGTCCCGCTCGGGGAAGGGCCGCCGCCCCAAGGTTGGGAGCGGCGGAGGTGGCGGGGGTGCGGGTGGGGGTAGTGGTGGAGGCGGGTCGTCCGGTGCCGGTGCGGACGTGGGGACCCTGCCCGGTCCAGCTGCCCCGCTGCCTCCACCGTTGCAGCAGCCGCAGCAGCCGCAGCCTTCGCAGCAGCCGCAGCAGCCGCCGCAGACGAGGCCGGCGAGTGCTCTCCCGCCTGGGTGGCCTGGAGCTGGTGGTGGTCGTGCGCGTGGTGGTGCACCGGGTGGTGGTTCTGGAGGCGGGCCCTGTCAGTACCAGATCCAGACCGGTCCTCGCCGCGGCTTCGTTTGCGGTAAGATCGGTCATTCCACTCCTCGCTGTTTTCGTCGTCTGGACGACCTGTTCCGCCAGCGCTTTGGCCCGGCGCCCGACCTCCCGGACTGGCACAGCTTGCTTAGGCGTAGCATTCGGATTTTTGACTTGGACATGGATGCCATTGTAGCAGCCTTGCATGTGATGTATGCCGATGACTCTAGTGTGCTTCCCTCTTATTACCCCGTGTTGCCTAGTGTAGCTGTGCCTAGCGTAGACTCCCCTGCTGCGTCAGGCGTAGGATCTCCTGCTTTGCTTAGCCTCGGTGCTTCCACCGCTTCACTGTCGCCCCGCGCGACTGCTGCGCTTTCCTTCACCTTGGACTCTGGCGCCTCCCGGTGTTTCTTCCGCGACTCCACGACGCTGACGCCGCTGCCTGTTCCTGCTGCAGTTACTCTTGCTGACCCCTCCGGTGGTCCCGTCTTTGCCCGCAGTTCCACCTCCCTTCCCTGTCCGGCGGTTCCTTCAGGTTCGCTCACCGGTCTGCATATCCCCTCGTTCTCCAAGAACCTAGTTGGTGTCGGCTGCCTCCAGGACCTTGGCGTCACCACTACGTTCCCTGGTCACGAGCGGTATGCTGTCTGTACCGAGGCCGCCACTGGTGCCCCCCTTACCACTTTCCCCCGGGACCCGGTGTCCGGCCTGTTCACACTTGACACCGCGACGTCCCCGGCTGGGTCTTCCCCCCAGGTAGCTGCGTCCACCCAGGTTGCTGCTGCGTGCTCCTGTCGGTCCCTCACTCATCCGACTCTCCTTTGGCACCACCGCCTTGGTCACCCTGCACTCCCGCGTCTGCGTCACATGTCCCAGCACGGTCTCGTCCTTGGTCTCCCCGGTTCGCTCCCTGAGTTTCCCTCATCCCCCGCCCCACCGTGCACGCCTTGTGTCGAGGGCCGGCTCCACCGTGCCCCTCACTCCTCCTCTTTTCCCCCTACCACCGCACCCCTGCAGACTCTGCACATGGACGTCTGGGGCCCAGCCCCGGTCCATGGGCCGCGTCGCGAGCGCTTCTTCCTAGTGCTTGTCGACGACTTCACACGTTACACCACCGTCTTTCCCCTGGAGCGGAAGGCCGACGTGCCTGACGTTCTCATCCCCTGGCTTGTCTCTGCTCGTCTCCACCGCGGTCTCCCTGCCTTGCGCCTCCACTCCGACCGGGGTGGCGAGTTCGCCTCAGGTGTCCTTGGTCGCTTCTGTCGTGCGGAGGGCATCACCCAGACGTTTACCCTGCCGGACTCCCCGCAGCAGAATGGGGTCGCTGAGCGACGCATCGGTTTGGTCATGGAGGTGGCTCGCACCTCCATGATCCACGCCGGTGCACCCCATTTTCTGTGGCCGTTCGCCGTGCGCTACGCCGCTCACCAGCTTAACCTGTGGCCGCACCCCCAGCGGCCGCAGGTTTCGCCGACCCTTCTGTGGACCGGGTCCCCTGGTGACGCGTCTGCGTTCCACGTCTGGAGCTGCCTTGCTCACGTTCGTGCCTCTGGCACGGACAAGCTCACTGCCCGCACCCTCCCCTGCGTCTTCCTCGGTTTCCCCCTTGACGCGTCCGACTGGCACTTCTACCACCCGCCGTCTCACCGTTTCTTTCACTCTCGCGACGTCACCTTTGACGAGTCCGTCTCCTTCTTCCGCCGCTTTCCCCACCGTGGTCCCCCGGTTACTCCCCCCCTGTTCCTGGTTCCTCCCTCCCTGGTGGCCCCTGCCCCTCCCCCCCCCCGCCCCCCCGTCCGGCCCCCTCTGGTGTGTCTCACGTCACCCCCCTCCCGTCGGTCGTTCCGGTCGACGAGTCTTCTGCCTCTGGTAGTCCTTTGGCGCAGTCCTCGCCGTCTGTCCCTCCCCCGGTGTCTCCTCCTCCACCGCCTCCGCAGCCGCCGTCGCCGCAGCTGCTGCAGCCGTCGTCTCCGCTGCCGCCGCCGTCGAGGCCGTCGCTGCAGCCGCCGCCGCCGCCGCCGCCGTCGTCGCTGCCGCTGTTTGTGGACTCTGGGGGTGCTAGAGTTGAGGTGGGTACTAGTCCCGGGGCTCCTG